CAAGTTCTCAGTTGCCTCATGTAGTGTCCCACTGACCTGCAACACCCCCTAATACTGGTCTGCCTGCAGCTGGGTCAGCTCATGTTTTAATACCCTTCTTGGCCTTCGCCATTCCCAGGGAGACCGTCACACCACTCCCCCCAAACAGAGGTTGGTGTTTTACAGGATACTGTACTCATTTACATGGGTCAATGGGATGTGTATCGTGTGCGGAGAGAAAGCGTGCCCAGACACTCAGACATTAGTTGCATCTTGTACATTTAAACATAGACTAACACCACTCAAGGATCACCCAGCTGATCAACAAAAGTTTAACCAACAGAAAATGGTGATTAATAACGGCAAATGAATGACAGCGTCTGCAATTACTCCTACATTTCTCCACCAGTGTCAGAACGCTGAGATGTGTAATACATCACAGGTCTCCATCTCTCATCTGCTCTCTCGCACAACTAGAAGAAACTCTGGAGCCAAAACACCAACCTACAAAACACTTGGTCCTTGAGAGGGCTCACCTTCCAATGCCGCTGTACATCCACAACACAAAATCGGTTAGCATTCAGGGATCCTACACGAACACAGCTGACTAATTCTTAATGCCGCACACACAACGGGCGTTGTCCTGTCAACTGGGCTACCGAGACAAGCCTACCGAGTTATCAGCTCACTTCTAAAAACACGGGACTCGTGACTACAAAAACATTCCTGAGGAATCCAGGAACAAGGGGCAAATTTGAAAGTTTGACTTATTTAACAAATAAAAGCATCAATTATGTTATCTGTCCTTTGCACCAGAGATGAATCTCTTATGTTAACTAATTACTTCTGACCTCATGATGCAACAGACACGAGGGTAAGTATTTCTGCAGACTCTATGGAGGTTTTCTAAAAGCAAAGGCATCCAGATTAAAAAGGTATGCAGTAACTATTTCATGGAACATGTACGACCCATCACAAAACCACTACCTGTACTAAAAGGAGCAAGTACTCTGGTGTGACAAACTAAATCTCTTTTTCAGTTTCCCAAATTTAGAAGCAGACATTTTCGTAGCAAAGAGGTAACCAATGATTACAGCAGATATTGAAAAATCTATTGATAGATTGAAGCCGTAAAAAATGTCTAAGCATAACAGTATATTTTGATCTTTTTTATTGCATGGGTGATTGAGGAAAGTTTTACTAGCAAATATAAAAGGTCTGTTTTATGATAAAGGGGTGTCTCAATTAAAGAATAAAGCAGTCTTCACAATTTCAAGTACAACTAAATTTTTATGATAAATTTTGCATGTTCCCAATATCCATATCTTCCTTTTAGTGGTGTCTTCAAAACACTAACATAGAGGATAAGGCATCTTAGACGCTTAGCCCCCATAGAATCAATTATTTAGGGAAAAAGAAAAGCTTATATAGATTTCACAATTTACAGCGCAAATATTCCACAAATTACTACAACAGAAGGGAATTATGTTGGCAAAGTGCCATTTTTAAAAGGGAGGGAATAAAATTAAAGTTGTGCGCACAACCTTAACTCTGCAAGCTTTGGGACACAAACGCCCTTCTTCAGGCATAGGGAGACTCTTCCAAAGTCTCCTTACGCCTGAAGGGTGTTTGTGCTCGAAAGCTTGCAAAGACCCTTTTTTCCAACTGTTTAGTTGGTCTGATAAAAGCGGTCGCTTTGACCCACAGAACCTTGTCCGCCTATGTCCTTAGAAAAACACAGCTACAACCAGCAACCTTAACTCTGACCTCTTTCGTACACCCATACAACACAGTTTAGTCATCTATTATCCAGATGCATAATCTGTCTCAAACAAAACCCTGGCAGCTCACATCAGCGATGTGGCCTTGCTCTTACTGATCAGACAGTCGGGCCGGGGCAGAGAGAGACCCCGAGATGCTGCACACCACTTGCTGTTATTCTTAAAGCAGGTTTAGAGATCGTTCCTACCTGGTGCACCAGTGACGTACCTGAACCACTAAGCAGCAGCGCAAAAACTAGGTCAGGCATAAAGTAAAGAAACTGTCAGTGACACTAAGAGTGGTGCAATTTATCTCATTTTTACATAGAGTGTTTTGAAACGATGATTCATTTACACATCCCTGGCTTCATATGTTTAGCATTACAGAGTACCCAGTAGTTTAATTGAAAGAGAAATAGATATAGATGTGTGTGTATCGCTCACAAGGAAGTATTGATAAATGTGTAGGTGGTTCCTGTAAGATTTATCTGTAAAAATATTGGCATGGAGATCCATTTCATTATGCAAAAATGGTTGTAGCAAAGAAAATTAGAGATCAAGAGGTGGCAAAGAAAGAGCATTACTTTAGTTTGGGTTCTCGTCCTTCACTCGTGTACTGCCAGCATATTAGTCCAATCAGGTCATGCACCTTGGCATTTGCTATCGTCACAACTGTCATTGGCTGTAGTTTGTCTTGGCTTGCATGCAATGGGAGGGAGACATGGATTTTTTTGGTTGCAGTTGTTCCAACATGACCTAGACATCAATTTTTTTGGTTGCAGTTGTTCCAACATGACCCTGTTGGAAAAAAAAATGCATTTTATTAAGCCAAGTAAGGGACAACGTAAAACAGAGACACCACATGCCATTTTGTGTGGGCTACAGTCTATTACAGTGGCTAGAACCAAAATGTAATTTTTACTTTCTAAATGTTACATGAGTTATTATGCGTGTTTAAATAAAGTCCAATTCTTTTCAAGCTATTAAAAAAATCTCTGCATGGATGACTGTGAAAGACGAGTCTCACGTTAGACATATTTCATGCATCTTCCCAATGGGAAGTTCCCATGGGGTGGGGGGGTGGAAATCAAAACTGTGGCAACATTCCCTATTCCCACAAGATCTTAAATAAGGAACAACTCTGCCACCCTACCCGCATGCCCAGCTAAAACTTACCCTCGCCCAGCACTGTCTGTAATGCTGACATTAACCAACTCTAAACTTTTGCTCTTTCCCATCCCCTTTCCCCTGCTTGCAGATGACTGCCGGGATCTCTTCCCTTGACTAGTCACTCTTCTCCGCGGCATCCCTGCCCCTAGCTCTGGTGTGGGCAGAATCCTGCCGCCCGCAGCATAAAAAAATGCTCAGCTTCATTATCATTATCAGCACCAGTCCCCAGTGGTTTCAGGAGACAGCTCAAAACTGCCCTGAGTTTAATTTTCCATGAGTTCCTCCAGCTTAACTCAGAGACTGAACCTCCCCTCTCCTCCTCTGGTGGAGCAGAGAAGGGCTCAAAGGAGTTCCTACTATTGTGCAAAGAGGGCTAAGGGTTAACGCGCAGGGGGCTCTTTCCCACTGTACATAAAACAGGGGAGGAATGAGAGACTGGTCTGCACATAGCAACAGAAAGGCGGAGGAAAGGGCATGCGGTGGCATGTCTGGGAGAGGTCAGGCTGGGCAGGCCAGCAGGCAACAACAGAACATAAATTAATGGGACAACATGCAGGAATCTCATGGGTGCAAAGGATTCAGAAACACTGCCTCTACGCATAAGGATTACATGGCCACGGGCTACAAGCTGCTGCAAAGTGCTCCCACCAGGGAAAACCTACGTTAACCCTGCACCCAAGTAAGAGACTCAACAGCGCAATGACCTGCCACGCAAAGAGATGCAGGGGGGATTAGCTGGTTAAAAGTCAACATGCTGTCTGTATGTCCCGGCAAGAACAAAACCAACTTATAACTGACTCCATAGCTAACCACTTAAAACTGAAGACAACCAAGAAGGATTAACTGGTATCATTGCATTTTATTGCAATTTATTGTATTAAAAAAAAAAATATTTGGCACCAGAGAGATTAAGACTTAATTGAAACATAAAGATCTATTACATTTGTTAGAAGACAAATCTATAGCTGATAGGACTCTATTTTTAAGCTAATAACCTTTTAAGCAGCAAAAATATTTTACATCCCCCCCCCCAAACAAATTAACTGACATAAGGATGATATCCTTGCTTCATACCAAGAGAAAGAATTCTTTGTTAGTAATTCCAAGTAACCGAATAAAAGTATTTATACTGGACACCCTGGCCGAGTACAGAAGACGTGAATGTTGTATGCTTGTTGCAAAATCAACTGATTTTTCACTGTAGTTTTAAGTTGCAAAAGTAAAAATAATTTAAAAATGAAAAGAATTAACCTTTGCATGAATGGTCGAACTGGAAAGTACTGAAAAAAATCCCCCAGTCATTTTCACCCCCTTTTCCGTCCAGCAGCCACCACTACAGACATTCACATCCCGTTCTAGGAGCGCTGAGCAGCCAGAGGACACGAGGCTCGTGTGCTGCAGGATGCCCAATGCTGCTGCTGGAGCTGAACTGCTCTTAGCAGTGGTGGGAAGCGCCTGGAAAGTTCCCCACTCTGTTCCGAGCCCTTGGCAGACATCAGTGCACGCTGGGCTCACTACGGGATAGTTACCTTTCCGGCTACAAGAGCTAGAAATGAGATTAAAAAAAAAAGAAATCTGAAGTAGAACGCAATAGATATAGACCAGAGGAGCTCAATCCCGCAGGTCAGATCCAGTCCACAGAGCCATGGCATGGCGGTAGGGGAGCAGTGGCAATTAATACTGCTACCCCTTCTCCACTGCCAAATTTCTAATCCCCACAGGGCCAGATTGGCACCGAGACCTCCCCTGTGGCTGGTTTGGAGCTGGGATCCCCCCTGCCACCCTCTGCATGGCCAGATCGGGCTCTGCTGCGCCTACCCCACGCCCCAGATCAGGCCCACGGACAACCAGACACCACCATGCCTCTGACCCCCCGCAGTAAAAACGTGAGCACCACTGCTACAGACCAATTACCAGAGGCAGAAAAGTTTAATCTAGCACTCCAATTTACCCCATGTCGTAACACGAGAACAAGAATACATCCACAAAACTGGTGGCAGAAGTAAAAGTGCTAAAAGGAAATAGCTTTACACAATCAAGAGGACTGGAAACTTCTTGCTGAGAGGTATCATCGATGTTAAAACCACAGTGGGATTCAGAGGAGGGCAAGGCATTTGTGTTGATAACAATCCACTGTCGCATTAGGCAGAAAAGATGTGTGCGAGCGATAGAAATACTTCTGTGCCAGTGTGAACACCAATCAATCCCTACCTGAATGGGATTAGGAAGGAACTTCAAACTGTGGAGAGTTCATTACTTATCAGTCATCTGAGCCAGGCTACAAGTAACGGGGCTGAATAAAGAGGGGTCGGTCTTGGAGTCCACTTATTAGTCTAAGTTCCCAGGAGCCAAACACCTAGGAAGGGTGGATGCAGCTACAGCAATCACAAGTCACACTATCTTCCTGGAGTTTCAAAAAGCTCGCTCACTGGGGAGGAATCACGCAGAACCAAGTGAGTCACTGCCACAACGTGGAACTCCCTCTCTCGCCTTGAAAAGCGGGTTCCATCTAGAGACTTGGGTGACCCAGGAAATAAAACATGATTACCCAATTCAACAAAGTGGCATCAAATTTATTAAAAGATTTTGTATAAAATTCAATGGAAAATCCATTTGGGGCCAGGGGCCTAACCATTTGGAGTTTCCTTAATAGCCTCCAATAAATCTGGGAGGCATAAAGGGGCTGTTAAATTAACATTTTCTTGATCTGTCACCTGTGGCACAGTTAATTTGTCAAAAATTCTTTTAGCTTGTCACTGGACACTGTATATGGTGACAAATGAAGTCTGGAATAAAACTGACAAAATATCGCCTTAATTTTCTAAGAATTGCACATTCTGGTTCCATTAGGCTTTTATTGTTAGAGATGCTAGGTCCCACCCGCCTTTCATAGAGGTAAGTGGATCCTTAAACTGGATCCATTCAAACGCATTTAAAAAAATACAAGCCTCTCAGAACCATTGCTCACGGGCAGGCTAGCGCTGTCACACATCCCACAGTCTGACCTCACCGAAACTGCAGCGTGACATTTTCACCCGATTTCACCATGCAGAGACAGAAATGCTGCTTGGCCAGAGAAGGCAGGATCCTGTGGGTGAAGTGCAGGGTTCCCAGGCCTGCCAGTGGCTGGCTGTGATCAGGACCAAGTCACTGAACCCCTTTGGATCCCAAATCTCCCACCAGAGCAGCAATGCACTTTATCGGACTCCTTTAATCATTCATGGTGCTCCGAGTTTATCTGTGGATATGCACAGTGCAGCTGGTCTCCTGCTGCTTTGAACTGCAGTCCCTCGCTCTGAACGCAACGTTGCTGAACAATGCAAGTTACTGAATTAGTAAAAATGCTTTCTTTGTTTTATACTGCTTTTTAATCAATCAAATAATTGGCCAATTTACTGACTGGGGTGGGGGAGGAGAATGAAATGAAAATAGAAAGTAGGAAAGCCTTGCTATTAATATACAACTTGCATCTCAAAAGGAGATTTGGTAGGAAGGGAGGCTTTGCTTACAGGAGTCCCACATATGAAATGCTTTCTAAAATGAACAGCGCCACAACAGAGTAGGACGAAATACATGATTTGTGGGGATCCAGGAGGTCTTCCACATTCATCTGGGCTCGCAGTGTGCAAGCGCAGGCAGCCTGACGGTACGTACAGATGCTGCTGCAGTATCCAGACACAGCGCTGCGAGTTAAGGATGGAACCAGGAGCTCCACTATGAATTTTCATAGCTTTTGTGGGATTGGATCATTAGTGTAACGAGCTCGGGTGTTTAATTATACAAGCTGTAGGTGCTATAATGATGACAGCATCCAGGAAACAGTTTATACAGAATAAATTCCATTGGCCTCGTACAGTTTTAGGAAACCCCTACATTATTAAATCATTTTTTACAATAAAATCAATATGCTTTAAATATAAAAATAGGGCTTTAAAACCATAAAGAAGAAATACATATTTTAAACTCCATCAATTGGTGCAATACAAGGAATCTTTTTATGATTTAATATCAACTTTTAATGAGAGTCCATCAGAGAATGTACACCTTTCTCCATTCCCAGATGATGCATCTCTCGAAAAGGTTACAGTGTGGCCATTAATACACTTCTAAATTATATAGGAAATCTGATACAATCTGAGCCTACCCCCAAGGACAACTTTATCCTAAACACAGATCTAACACATCTGGATAATGAAAAGCTGCTAAAATATTCAGTGAGAAAATTGTGCATGTTGTACCCCTCTCATGTCTGGGGTTTTTTTCTCTGAATATCTTGGTGGAAAATTAAAACAAAGTCCATAAACATTTCTTAGAGAAACATGTGATTAATTTTGTAACAATAATAATTTATTGAATCTTCCTGTACAATAGACTTCTATGACTAAATATTATATCACTTTAAAATTAGATGTTCTAATGATATAATGCAAAGATTTTACTGAATCATTATTTAGTGAAAGTCATAAAAACCTCTTAAAATTAATCTTTCATGCACATCCAGCTTATCCAAAGTTAGCATTTAATTAGATGGCCTTGGCACAAATGAGCTTACTACTTTATTTGCTCAATCAGTATATGTCTCTCCAGTAATTATAATTAATTCAAGTCATTGACTCACCTCCTCACAA